ATGTGACGACGGACATGTTCCAGTGGTCGTAACCATCGTACCGTCATCTTTTCCTTGAATGTAAACTACCAAATAAAACCAAATCACTGGGTTTGTACTTTCTCGAATAACACGACGGGTGCCTTTCTGGAGCATCCGAGATCACCCCGATGGATTTATATTACCCAGTCATACCGATCTATTGAATCAGCCAAATGAAACTGTTTTGTATGCTACCGCAACTGAAAGTTGGGGGTCATATTGTTTTACCCCTGTCCGTCAGTCCGTCCGCCCGTCTGTCCGTCCCATTATGGGTATATAGTTATTCTTCATAACTCCTCCTACAGTTTGAATCCTAGGAAGTTTTCTCTTTACTGTCTGTTTGTAAATATATTGAAGGTGTGCATGTGGTCAGGGTTTTTATTTTTATTATCTTTTGCTCTTTTGGGAGATAATCGAACTTTTTTTTTGTCAATTTGGGGTATAAGCGGTTAAACGAGTTGAGTGCGGGGGCATCACTTTGTCTAGTTTACATTTTTTTCTCGTGTTGTGCTGTTACACAACTGTAACAGTCCGATGTAAGGTTAGGATTTAGCGCTCACATACATGTTAAACACCGCCACGTGCAATTTCTTTAGATGTACCTGCCCCAAGTCAGGAGCATGAAGTTCAATTGTTGTCGTTGTATAAATGTGTGTCTTTTTTTTTTGTAGATTGTTTATTTATAAATAAGACCGTTTGTTTTTTCGTTTGAATTTTTTCACATGGTGCATGGTGGCCTTTTGTAGCTGACTAAACGCTGTGTTGAAGGCTGTACGGTTGCCTATATATGATTTCTTACACCCACTGCATTTAAACTCTGGTGGATAGTTGTCTCATTGTCAATCACACCACATCTAACTTTATTTCAACTTCTATGTTGCCTTTTGTATACTGTAACATTGTTTATCTTTTGTGTGCATACCCCGGAGCCCTCTTTTCGGAAGCCCGAGCAAAAATCCTTGTTCCGCGATAGAAAATTTAATTACGAACTCATATAAGATAGCTCGAATTTCAACTCAAAATCTTAATTAATCTAAATGAGACTTAAATTCGAATCTTACTCAAACTCTACCTCAAAAAGTGACTCAAATTTAATGTTGTAAGAACTCTACCTTTAAATGTGACTCAAACTCGAAGTCCAACTCGAAACTCAATGCTAACTAAAACTTTAATTCTAATAATGACTTGAATTCGAAATCGAAGACTAACTCAAAGTTTAACTCAAACAGTAACCCGAACTTTAATTTGAACTCTAATTCGAAGGATGGCCACACTCATCCAAGGCACATACAACATGGAAATCTATCTAAAAATAGAACAGGTTTTTCCGAATTGGTCACGTGATTTTACCTCATCAAGTAATGGGATAACCACATCAAAGAATGACAGGACCACATCAAATAATGAAACAAACACATCATGTAGTGTAAAATCGTCAAATTTTGAAACATCATTACGTAATGTTAAAACCATATAAAGAATAGGCAAATCATCATTGCAAAATAACAAAACCACATCATGTAATGAAACAACTACATAACGTTAAGTCACATTCACATCAAGTAATGTTAAAACTACATTGACTAATGACACAACCACATTAAATAATGGTGAAACCACATCGAGTAATGACAAAACTATATTGAGTAATGACAAAACTATATCAAGTCAATACGAAACCATATCGTGTAATATCGAAATATCATTAAGTGATGATTATTCCATATTGAGTTTTATCAAAACATCATAACGTAATGTCAAAACCATATTAAGTAAAGACAAAATATCATCAAGTAATAATAAAACAACATGAAGTAATATCAGAGTTCCACATGAGACAGCTGTGGCGTTCCATAGTTTAGTGTACGATAACTTGTTTTTATTTAAATGTCTTTTTGATCGAGTTTAGCCATTCAATTGGTATATAATAGTGTGTCTTTTTATGTTGTAATGTTACACTATTGTCTCTGGTTATTGTGAAGATTGGCACCTGTTAAAATGTTGAAACCCGCTGCATTTTTATGCATCTGTCTGAAGTCAGGAGCCTGTTGTTCAGTAGTTGACGTTTTTTATATAAATATACCGTTGGTTTTCCTGTTTGAATTGTTTTATGCTAATAATGTTGGGTTTTAGTGTTCGGCTATCTGGGTAGATATTGCGGACTTTAAGGACCTATTCTTACAGTGATGAATTTGCTATTCTTTTCCCTTTTTCTTGCTCCTACTTGGTGGTTGAGTTTGGTAGGGAGTATCTGGTCGTTCTTGTAAGACAAAGGCAGTTTGAATGGCCTATGGATCATGCAAGGATATCGGAGATGTATGAGATGGTGTGCAAGTAGGTCGTGGCCATCTATGTCAAATCACTCTGTGAAATATATCCTACAACGCTTACGTCTAGGTTTGGATGGAGTGTTGAGGTATCGTCGATGGCATGCTTTCTTGGAGTTGTATGGACTGGTGACAATGTCCGTCTTGATATTGACTCCCTCTGGTTCTCTACGATACTTTGTTGATGTTAGTGGTATGCCAATGACTGTGTCCCTGGGTTGCGTCTTATAGATATACTGGTGGTAGTTACAGGGGTAGCAGCGGAAGCAACAGCTTTTTTGGAGTCCATCCACTGGGCGAAACGCTGGGCATTTCTTCTCCAGGTAGATGGAGGCTTCTGTTTCCTTTGCAGGGCCGGCTTAGGGTTCCTGAATGTTGTTTTACACTAGTAATTTCGGGGCCTTTTATAGCTTGTTGTTCGATGTGAGCCAGTGTTGCGTGTTGAAGGCCGTACTTTGACCTATAATTGTTAACTTTTCATTCATTGTGACTCGGATTGAGAGTTGTTTCGTTGGCATTCATACCACATCTTATTTATATAAAGTATTAGCTCACCACATTTCCATACAGATTATTTGACCGTTATTCCTCAGTTATGATCCATCAACTTTTGCATAGTTTACATGCTTAAGGTTGTGTTTGGGTCAGTTTAAAGGAAACCTCTCGTGAAAAGTCAATGATATTTTGTATGCAGGTATTTTGCATTGCTATTTCTTATATGTGGTCCTGTACATTCATTCCGGATTCATTGACTTTTAATGTTTTGCATAGTTTACATGTTTAAGTATTGCCAATTTCATTTCAACATTTGCTTTACACTGTCAAAATTGCATCAAAGGGAGACATATCTCTGTCAACAGTTTAATATAAGTTAAGACTAGTTAATTTTAACAAGTGAGGATAATGCAATTTTGATTATTTATTAATTTGACATTTTATTGCGTTGACCTGCACATTTATGTCCAAAAAAAATTTGTGCTTTTTTCCAGGTTAGCCTATAACAAATGTATAGATAATCTTAGTCATTCTCAATAATGATCATGATTTATATTTCAGTACATAACACTGAGATGCTTGAAGACTGGAAACACAAAGACAAGATGTTTATACAGACCAGAGCTGCCAAGCATGTATTGAAATGTCTACAGGAAAACAATTGTGTAACCATTACAGCTAGTTCTGGTGTAGGAAAGACAGCAACACTCCGACATGTTGCTTTACAAATGTCAAAAGATGGATATGATGTTCTGCTAGTTTCTGATCCATTTGACATTGTGAAATTTTACAATCCAGTTCAGAAAACATTGTTTGTCATTGATGATTTATGTGGAGTCTATTCTATAAACCTGAGTGAAATCAACAATTGGTATACAGTCATGAAACGTATAAAAGGTCTTCTTCTTAACAAATTACACACAAAAATAGTTGCAGCATGCAGATTACAAGTATACCAAGATAAAAGGTTTGAATCATTATCAATTTTCAAGTCATGTGTATGTAACTTGTTATCAGAGGGAATGTGTTTGTCAAAAGCTGAAAAACAGTCAATAGCTGAGTTGTATCTGAAGAAAAAAGCCTCTAAGATTACTGAAGTTTATGATTTATACAATTTTTTCCCACTACTATGTAAACTTTGTCATGGTAATCCTGCACTTGATGTTACAAACATCTTTAGGAATCCCTTTTTAGTTTATAAAGAAGAGATTGATCACCTACTGGTGGAAAGGCACTTAGGTAAATATTGTGCTTTGGCTTTATGTGTCATGTTTAACAACAAGTTGACAGAAGAAATGTTGACAGATGAAACTGATGAAAAAAACAGATTTATCATTGAAAACACATGTGCGGCATGTGAATTAGACAGGGGAACATCTAGGCTTTTTTTAATCAATGAACTTCACTCACTTAAAGATACTTACATTAAGGAAGAACAAAATGTGTATAAGATTAAACCTGATCAAATATTTGACTTCCTAGCCTTCTACTATGGAAAGAATACACTCCATTGCTTGATAAGGAATGCGGACAGTGGTTTAATAAAGGAAAGATTTCTATTAGAAAGAAAGGATGAGATGGATCAGTTTATTACTGTTATACCTCCTGATTATCACGAGATGTACATAAAGAGAATGATTGATGACTGGTCAAAGGGAAAATTACAGGATGTATTTAGTAACATCAATATGAAGATACCACAGTTTAGACTGACATTTCTTTCCCATCTTAATACCCTTGATATATCTTACCAGAGAGAGCTGGCACTTATGGGTGAAGGCGATGATGGTACCTATGATTCTGTTTTGTTACATTGTTGCTATATAGGAGATGTTTCTTTGGTTGAGTGGTGTTGTATTCAAGGTGTTGATGTAAACAGGTGCACACATGATGACCAGTCACCGGTATTGATTGGGTGCAAACATGGTCATACAGAAATAGTAAAGATGTTGTTAGACAAAGGAGCAGACTATAATAAATGTGATTGGAAGGGTCAGTCACCTGGTATAATTGCTTTTGAACATTGTCGCACAGAAATTATAAAGATGTTTTTAGACAGAGGAGCCGACTATAATAAATTTGACAGGTGGGGTCAGTCACCTGTAATAAAAGCTTCTAATCGTGGTCATACAGAAATGGTTAAGATGTTGTAAGACAACGGCGCTGACTATAATGGATGTGACAGTTGGGGTGATTCACCTTTAATGAAGGCTTGTGAACATGGTCATTTAGAAATAATAAAGATGTTATTAGACAGAGGAGCAGACTATGATAAATGCGACGATGACGGCCAGTCACCTGTATTAATAGCTTGTCAACATGCCCTTACAGAAATAGTGATGATGTTATTAGACATAGGAGCAGACTACAATAAATGTGATAAGAGGAGTCAGTCACCTGTAATGAAGGCTTGTGAACTTGGTCATACAGAAATAGTAAAGATGTTGTTAGACAGAGGAGCAGACTGTAATATATGTGATAGGAAGGGTCAGTCACCTGTATTGAAGGCTTTTGAAAATAGTCATACAGAAATAGTAAAGATGTTGTTAGACAGAGGAGCAGACTATAATAAATGCGACAGTGACGGCCAGTCACCTGTATTAATAGCTTGTCAACATGCCCTTACAGAAATAGTGATGATGTTATTAGACATAGGAGCAGACTACAATAAATGTGATAAGAGGGGTCAGTCACCTGTAATGAAGGCTTGTGAACTTGGTCATACAGAAATAGTAAAGATGTTGTTAGACAGAGGAGCAGACTATAATAAATGCGACAGTGACGGCCAGTCACCTGTATTAATAGCTTGTCAACATGGATATATAGAAATAGTGAATATGTTATTAGACAGAGGAGCAGACTACAATAAATGTGATAAAAGGGGTCAGTCACCTATTATGAAGGCTTGTGAACTTGGTCATACAGAAATAATAAAGATGTTGTTAGACAGAAGATCAGACTGTAATAAATGTGACAATCAAGGTAAATCACCTGTTATGAAGGCTTGTGAACTTGGTCATACAGAAATAGTAAAGATGCTGTTAGACAACGGAGCAGACTATGATGCTTTTCGCAGGAGGGATCAATCACCTATAAACAAAGGTAGAAAGTTTGGTTATACTAAAATAGTTAAGATTATGTTAGACCGAAAAGCAAGCTATCATATATTTGGAAGAAGGGATCAGTCACCTGTTTTGATAGCTTGTCAACATGGTCATACTGAAATAGTAAAGATGTTATTAGACAGAGGAGCAGACTATAATAAATTTTACAGGGGGGATCAGTCACCTGTAAACGAAGGTGGTGAATTGGATTATAAAGCAAAAGAAGAGATGATGTTAGACCTAGGAGAAACCTTTGGTTTATTTGACAGATTGGATCAGCTACCTGTATTGATAGCTTGTAAGCATGGTCATACAGAAATAGTAAAGATGTTGTTAAACAAAGGAGCAGACTGTAATATATGTGATAGGGACGGTCAGTCATCTCTATCGACGGCTTGTAAATTTGGTCATACTAAAATAGTAAAGATGTTGTTAGACAGAGGAGCAGACTATAATATATGTGATAGGGACGGTCAGTCACCTCTATTGAAGGCTTGTAAATTTGGTCATACAGAAATAGTAAGGATGTTGTTAGACAGAAGAGCAGACTATAATAAATGCAACGATCATGGTAAATCACCTTTTATGAAGGCTTGTGAACTTGGTCATACAGAAATAGTAAGGATGTTGTTAGACAGAGGAGCAGACAACAATAAATGTGATGAAGATGGTCAATCACCTTTAATGAAGGCTTGTGAATATGGTCATACAGATATAGTAAGGATGTTGTTAGACAGAGGAGCAGACTGCAATATATGTGATGAAGACGGTCAGTCGCCTGTAAAGATAGCTTCACAACAGGATCATAAAGAAATAGTAAAGATGTTAGTAAACAGGGAAGCAGACTTTAGTCCATGTGATAAGTGGAGTCAGTCACCTGCAATAATGGCTGGTGAAAATGATTATACAGAAAAGGACGGTAAGGGTTAGAAATGTTGAATGTTAAATTCTTCTGAAAGCGACTTAATCCAGATGATTGATTTTTTTTTGGGGGGGGGGGGGGGGGGGGGGGGGGGGTTAAAAATGAAAACGTTTTTTAAACACACTATATACATTATGAATCAAGCAAAAATGTAAATCTGGTTTCTTGTCAGAAGTCTGAAATCTGGATGTAAAACTTTCAGTCATTGGTAATTTGCTGAGATTTCGAAAGCAATGCCAATAGAAAAATTTTATTCAATGATTACTTCTTGTAACTATATAACTACCTGTCAAAATCATGAAAATTACAAATTAAAACATTTGTAGATACTATATATACAGTGTATCTGTAAAAGGTCACCATAGTCATGCTATTTGGTATATTGAAAGATAGTGTACCTGTCTGTATGTCGAAGTAAATTTCCTATGACATTGATATCATTTTCATGGAATGATTATAAGGTGGACATAGATATATGAAGATGTGGTATGACTGCCAATGAGACAACTCTCCATCCAAGTCACAATTTGTAAAGGTAAACCATATATGTTTCATTTAACAGCATTGAAGTTTCCTCATTAATAAGGCTGCTTCTCAGATATATACTTTTAGTAAACTATATTTGGGGTATAGAATGATTGTACCACCTCAACATAACATCAATGATCAATGCAAATAAGGTCAAGTTGAAACGAACCCTATAGAACAGATATGACATCTTTATACAATCATTCTATACCCCAATTATATAAACAAGGATACACACATCAAAATATCTCATGATTTTTTATGACAATTATTGAATTAAATGTAAAAATTAGAAGATGTTGAATAATTGCTTATGAGAAAACTCTCCACCAAATGACCAAAAAAACATTAAGCAACTACAGGTCACCGTGTGGCTTGCAACAGTGAGCAAAACCCATTCTGCATAGCAAGCTCTAAAAGGCCAAAAATAACAAATGTAAAGGCCTGATTTCTATACAAAACAATAAACAAAAAAACAAAGATGATATATAGCAACAAACGACAATCACTGAATTACGGGCTATTGCATTGGGACAGGCAAATACAGAATATGGCAGGATAAACATGATTGGGGAATCCGGTCCCACCCACCCCTAACTTGGGATAGAGTAACAGCACAACATAAGACTATAAAAATCAGTTGAAAAGGGCTTAACTCATCAGATTTATACAAATCACAAACATGACTAACAGAAACACAAAGTACAGATCTAAGAGAACTCGCAGCTACTATAAGCTAGTTCAGAGCCAATAATAACTAAAACCCAATCATGTTTCTAAGACTAAAATGTTGAAAGCCTTGAAATTTAAGTTAATCACAGTATATCAAATTTGGTCTATTCATCAGACAAAACAGAAATTTAATTCCAAACCTAACAATTTCAATTTCTTTATTTATTTATAGCTAGAAGCTCTGCACCATTGGATGTTCTCTGTGATGGCATTCATCTTGTATGTTTTACGGACACTAGACTTGATATGAAATGTGTCTATCATGCAAACAGTTTTGTAAAAGAAAAAACAACCTTACGTGGCAAGTATAAATTTTGAATTGTCTCACCTTAGAATTATCTATATTTAGTCTGCAAATTTGTAATATTCAGTTGACCTGACTGTCAGATTTTTTGATTAATTTCCTGCTTTTTGTCTCGTCTCCTGGAAGTTGGAAAAAAATTTAGAATTAGGCGAAAAAAATAGAATTAGGCGTGCTGCTTCTTGCGAGTCCAGCTGCTTCAACAATCTATTAGGGAGTAATGGGATCGGTTAAAGGAGAAACACTAGTGGAAGGTTAATGATATTTGATATTCAGTTGTATTTGCATTGGCACATCTCATTTTCATGGGGATATTGTGGTCCCCTCTCCCTCAGTCATGTTCTGTTGACTTTGAAACCTTTGCATAGTTTAGATGATAAAGTTTGTTATAAGGTCAGTTTCAGATGAACCATTTACAGAATTATGCTATGCAGTTGCATTAGCATTGGGTCAATATGCCCAATTCATTTCAGGTTGGCAAAAATGGTAGTCTTTTCTTCCATTTCTCTGTCCTTATCGTAAACCTGGATACAGATTATGGCTTATATCGAAGCTGAAACATTTGCAAAGATGTGGTTAAATTTTTGGGGTACAAAGTGAGATTATTTTTTTTTACAAATGTGGAAACCGGCAGGCCCATGTAATGAGTATCTGGTATCGGATCGTGAATGTATTTGATTGTAATTCTACTTCAAAATCTGTGAAAAATCCGCTTTATTTTCAAAGTGCGGAACAAATCCGGGAAAAAAGTATGTCTGTCAAAACGATGCAACTTTCTCAATTATATTGTGCAATAAGATAAAAGAAAATATGTAGTACTTTATGAGAAAACACAAAAGGCGCAACACAAGTCTTTGGGATTCATTAAAAAAACACGTTTTGTACTTATAATGGTCACATTCCAAAAAGTAGAACAACAAAAATACCGAACTCCGAGGAAAATTCAAAACAGAAAGTCTGTAATCAAATGGCAAAATCAAAGGCTCAAACACATCAAACGAATGGATAACAACGGTCATATTCCTGACTTGGTACAGGCATTTTCTTATGTAGAAAATGGTGGATTAAACCTGGTTTGATAGCTAGCTAAACCTCTCACTTGTATGACAGTCGCATACAATTCCATTATATTGACAACGATGTGTGAACAAAACAAACAAACATAATATGTAAAAATGTCAAAAATAGAGGTACAGCAGTCAACATTGTGTTATAATCTTAATCACTATAAAAACAAACAAATATGTAACAAAGAAACACTAAAAGGCATATAGACAAAGTACCTTACCAAAAATGAAAGACAAGAATACAAAAATTTACCATAGCACTATTACACAATGACGGTATGTATAAGTACAGAGCCACGTCAAATGGATAGCCCCAAACATAGACTAAACAGTAAAAGTAATATTCATGAAGACAAATAAAAGAGTACTTTAACACGTTATCAAGATGATAAACAACCTCAGTACCCAGAATCTATACTCCAAGACCATCGTGTATTATTTGTGAAGTTAAAACGGAATATTTATCAACAATGTCTTAGTATCTTCCGATGAACTTTTTTTAGAAAAAGGACGAGACGTCTTTGACATACCCCTGGTTCATCAATTTTCTACTCAGACACTGGTGACGTTTTACAAAGTCTGAGTAGCAGCTGCAGGCTCTTGCATATCGAATCAGTTGAGAAATATATATCCCATATGCAGGTGAAGTTGGTATATTGCTACTGAGGTGGGGGAAATTGTTAATTTCTAAATTAAAATCGTCTCGTTTGTCATAGATTCTGATACTGAGATGACCGCGTATTTCGAATTCGAGGTATAAGTCTAAAAATGAGGCGGAAGAAGCCGTGTCTGTTGTTTCTTTAATATCTAGTTCTAGGGGGATATATTAATGGAACCTAATCAGAAAAGTTTGGATTGTTAATGGAAAGAACATCATCAATATATCTAAATGATATAATGATATATTTGAAACTGAATCTTTGGTGTGTCAGTACAGCAAAATAAAAGTATTTTTGTCCTTGAACCCGTTCATTTTGTTTTTATACGACCGCAAAAATTTATTTACGTCGGATAATCTATGATGTCGTCGTTGTCTGCGTCGGCGTCGTCCGAAGACACATTTGGTTTCCGGACAATAACTTTAGTTTAAGTGAATTAAATTAAATTTTACCAGAAGTTTCAATACCACAAAAGGAAGGTTGGGATTGATTTTGGGGGTTATGGTACCTACAGTTTAGGAATTAGGGGCCAAAAACAAGCATTTTTGTAGTTTCCGGACAATAACTTGTGTGTAAGTGTATGGATCTCTCTGATTGTACCACAAGGTTCCACATCACAAAGGGAAGGCTGGGATTGAGTTTGGGGGTAATTGCCCAAAACGTTCAGGAATTAGGTGCCAAAAATTGACCAAAAACAAGCATGTTTCCAGACAATAACTTGTGTTTAAGTGTATGGATCTCTCTGAAATTCTACTGCAAGATACCATACCTCAAAAGGAAGGCTGGGATTGAGTTTGGGGGTAATTACTCCAAAGGGGGTTCAAAAAAAAGTTTTTGAGATGGATTTTTTTTTTTTCATAATTATGTCCCCGCCGAAGCGGAGGGGGCATTAAGTTTTACCCTTGTTCGTCTGTCCGAACGTCCCAAAATTGGTTTCCGTTCTCTAACTAAAATTTGCCTCAACTAAATGTTATCAAACTTATACACAATGCTTATTACCACAAAACACAGATCAAGTTTGAATTTTAGTGGCGTCACTTTAACCGTTCTAGAGTTATGCTCCTTTATAAGTGGAAAAATAGCAAAACTTTTCATATCCGTTCTCTAACTTAAGTTTGCCTCAACCAAATGTTATGAAACTTATACACAATGCTTATTACCACAATACACAGATCAATTTGAATTGGCGTCACTTTTACTGTTCTAGAGTTATTTCCCTTTACAAATGGAAAAATTGCTAAATGTTTCATTTTTTTTCTAAATATATCAATGATGTCATTGTTCAAGTAATTTTTAAATTGGAGTTATCTTCCTTTGTCCATGATTATAGTTGAATCAACTACAATCAATGCTTTATACAATGCAATGTTTAATTTTGCCTTCCACTGATAAAACACAGATCAAGTTGAATTTGGATAGTGTCACTTTAACCATTATTGAGTTATGCCTCTTTATAAATCGAAAAATTGGAAAATTTTTAGTTTCCGTTCTGTAACTTGCCCCAACCAAACATGAAACCTATACACAATACTTATTACTACAAAACTAAGATCAAGTACAATTTTTTACTTTAATTCTTTCTGATTTATATATAAAAGCAAAAAATACTGATATGACAGGAGATACACACCAAACAGGATGCGTAAATTATTATATTAAGTATTGTGCAAGAAATCTTTAATTGCATAGAATTGCGCAATAGCAAGAACTCTTCAATTGCA